AAAATAATACCAATTATTAAATTTAATAGACGGTCGATATGTGTTTGATATTTATGACCTCAATAAACAATAGATAACGATTTATTAATACATGTTTGTGTTTGTATTTACATTTTCTGGGTTTAATCTRTGTTCGTGTTCATTATTTAAGATAATAAGATAGTTGGGTAAATATTTTTTTTAATTATATTTCATTATATTATTTATTATTATTATTATTTTTTTTTTTTGATAATACATGTTATGAATTTTTAGCACATATTTATGTACTTAAATAACGGATAATACTATTTTAGTAAAATATGTTTCGTTGAATGTTCTGAATATCAAAACAAAAATTATTAAACTTAAAAAGGAAAAAATAGAATTACCACTATATTGTAAGGTGGCACCTAATACTGAATCAACAACGCTGCCAACTAATCCGGCAAAACCTCCAGCTACTATTATTGGCCACTGTACAGGACTTCTGGCTAACATTTCTGCATCGATTGTATAGATAAGCATTGCATAATTTGCTAATCCGACAGCCATGCCACCCAATAGACTGACAACCAATCCAATTACTGACACACCACCATTTGTACCTGGGCCATAGATTTTACAATTAATAATACTCTAATTATATCAAATACTATCACTATTAAATAATACAAATAATATATAGTATAGTAAAATCAGCGCTTTCCATTTCCGCATAAAAAAGACTCAATGCCACACACATAAATAGTGTATCTCAGTTTTATTAAAATATATTGCTTAATTCCTCACTAAAAAGTAATAATAAAATAAAACTTTTGAGGTGGCTGGAACTGAGTACTAGTGACCAGACATTATTGAGCTAYAATAAAACCAAATGGTTCATACTAATATCTGCTATCGAAGAGTTTTGCAGTTATAATATGTGCCACTGAAAAAATAATTTCTTAAAATCAAAAAAAGTCTGAATCAGTTTTAAAGAATTTCTACGAGTGTCYAAATTCAAAGTTATGGTTTTTGCCATGTGAAAAATATATGAATAAATYTGTGAGTGGTAATGGGATATCCACTATTTAATAATTTGTGTGCAATTTTGTCTTATGCTGTGTATTCTGCATATCAGTGCGGCAATGAACAACGCCTAGCCAAATAACTAAGTCTAAACAATCACCTTTGGGAACAGGTTTACCAGTTGTTATTAATATGGGCAAGCCTGTGTCCAAGACTGTTGCTAATTCTGAAGCCCAAGTATCACCGTTACAACTAGAAAAAGCACCTAAATWACACATAAGTACAATTTCAACTTACATTTTCAATATGTGAACCAATAACTTTAGCAAAATCAAATCTTACCAAGAATACCAATGGATAACCAAGAAGGCCGATAATAACGTTTGAAATCAACAGGTAGTTCACCACATCCGACGTCTAAAATGTACAAGAGCGCAAGTTGAGTAGCCATTCCTCCATTACATAACACTTGTATCCAGTTTCTTTGTCCACCTGTTTATTTATAAATGTATTAATAAAAACAAACAATATTAAAATAACTAAAGTATTAACCTTCTTTAAAGTCAGGTTCCAATTGTTTTTTAGTTTTACTCCGAAATTTTGTAGCTCTGGAAGATGTAACAAAAAATGTTAGCAAACATGCCAGAAATCCATAGCTGCTYAGTGTCAATACAAAACCAACAATCACACCTGAATAACATCAAAATTAAATTCATGTTGGTTCTATATTTATAGATTTAAAKTGCAGACCAGCGATTCTCAATCTTTTTAAGGCATTAAAACGTTTATAATCGTTATGTTTTAGCAACAATACTAAACACTTACAAATTATTTTATGTATAGCCAACTAAAAAATTTATTGGCAATGCCCCAAGTTGAAAATCGTTAGTTTATAACTATATAATATAGTACTTTACAAGAATACAAACCTAATAGTGCTCCACTTAGGTTTAAACTACGTTTGGTGTAACCCCATACAACAATAAATAGTGGAATGAAAGTGGATATAAACCATCGAAGAGGTGGAAGTCCTTCTAAAAATTGTATTAACATCTATTTAATAAAATATAATTAATTGACATAGTTCATGTTCTATATTCAATTTAGAATAAGAACAGTACAGGGTCTTGACCAGTTTTCATCGGTAGCGGTCAGATGCTAAAGCACAAGGCAAAGCATCAGAACAGAGCCACACCTATGGGCACAAGTCAACTGCCCAGCATCTTTCTTGTTCTCAAAAGAGCATAGGTACTATTAAAAACAGTAAATATCTTAATCCTTTCACTGCTACAGACGCAGTAGCGCCGATCACCTAATTTATCTATGACATATGTTACAATAAATTTTTTATCTAGAATATTATATACCTTTAAACGTAAAAATAAACAATTATACATTACATTACGTATTAGTAGATTCTATGATTTGCATGTGATAGCTAAAATTATAAATATGGGGGATGATGAAGGCCCTTTGATATACAATGTCATAATATATTTTTAGAAATTCGGCACCACTGTACAKATGTYCAATCATGTCCAAAACATTTAAACCACTCACTGCTTTAGACATACAAATAAATTTTTATATTTAATATTAACATTGGGTAGTAATCAAATAACTTTAGGAAACCCTGGCTAGCATTACTTTAAACTTAATTAGTTAGATCACATAGATCTCAAAACAAATATTTTGAAAAAAACTTCATTTTATGAATTAATAGGTACACAGATTGCAGAGTATAAATAGTGTAGCAGTAAAAGGATTAATTTAATGATTTAGTAAAATAACAAGAATTCCTAGCCATGTCCAAATATTTATTTAAAAAGATTTATAAAAAAAAACATGAAATAACTATTGTGTTAAGTTTTAATTTTTATAAGTATCTCTAGTATCTCTAGAACTTTGATTAGGATTGTTTAATTGTTATGCTTAAGTTGATGAATTTACCATCTAGTTCATTTACATTATCGCCATAAAATTTTCGGAAAACAATATTGCTAATCCATAAGATCAT